AGAATTATTAACCAGTATCGATTCTCTTCAATCTCAAGTTGTTGAGGTTGGATCGGAAACTACCACTTTTCGCAGCATTTGGTGGTTCCGAGGATTCAGATATTATCAGAATTTGTGATACCGATACATCAAAACGTGTTGTATAATACTTGTATACACTATATATTATAATAGTTAATAGTATATCCTAGTCTTCAAATATTCTTATTATTTAAGCGTTTAGATGAATAAGATTTGAAAGTTACCTATATGTAAAGTACCTTAAGTACCTATATATGATTGAAACAGTACCGATCCGAGACGGATTAGACTGTTAGAAAATTAATATCATTAACAATATTTATTTATGTTTATTATCCTCTACTTTTTATATAAAATACACAAAAATAACAATTCGTATTTATATAATGGCTGGCCCACGAACTTGCCAGTGGTAGATCGGGATACTGTTATCTTCCTGGTAGAGGTCCATCGTTGATCTTTCGTAGTAGCCTCGATATGTCATCAAGTTCTGGATGTTTATTTGATCCGCTGATGCCACGATATATTACCAAGTTCCGGGTATGGATCCGATTCGTCGTTGTCGTGAGGTATCACCAAGTCCTAGGTCTTGATCCAGATCTTCGATGCATCGAGATGCTGTCCGTTCCGAGAAGTTGGTTTATTCTCCTGAAGGATGGTACGATGCGGTGTCGTTACACTCCAATGTAGGTGGTGTTCACACGGCGTTCAAGTCACTTTCCCAAATAACAACTTATCTGTGTGTTATTTGGGTGCACCCCGAAATATAACCGGAGAGCTCAATTAAATGCTGTTCTGTGTTCATATCTGTGCCAGAGGTGGACAACTCAATACGGAACCTAACCTTACAAAGTGCCTTGTAAAGCCCCGGGATACGCGACGCTTGTACCGTGCCTGGAATGTGTCAGTGGTAAGTATTTGGACAACTTAATTAAAAGCCAGACTATGGGTGATGTTCCGATTTTCGGGAAACTCCTTTCATTCAATTATATTTATTGATAAATGAAATTTGAATTGAAGGATAGGGTACGTTGGTCGTGCTGCTGCTCTTCGCCCTTATATGTTGTTTGAGCTCACAGCAGACCGGACATCGCTATTCGCTCGCGTTGCTTCACACCATGTTGTTCATGCTAGTTGCGTGTATTCGCCTGCAAAATGATAGTCCAGTCTGCCATGAGCTCGCTCTTTTGTTACAATTTGTCTGTAGTCGCAGAGTCGCCACCGCGTACTATACACTGAGCGAGTTCTGTTGTTTTGATTTGTATGGTAATGTTACTTTCTGTCACCACCCCGTAATATTATAATATTATATAAGTATTTATATATCATATGAATGAATTCACTCATTTTTGAGAAATTGGAACTATTTTGTGATTCATGGGACTTATAATTAAGCTGTACAAAGAATAAATCTAGTAAGAGGAGTAGAAAAATACAATATGATGAATTGTGTGGCTTTACATGAAATTTTAGGGAAATATACTGGAACAACAAAGGTGTCACAAACAACTATTCTGGAAAGTGCAAACTGCGAACATGATCATAGATTCACAGATTAGGAACTGTCTTTGGTATGCTAATCATCTATATGATAAAGGAATTCAAAATTATTAATCCAAGAATATCAACCCTAAAACTAAAGCAGACAGTACATATGGATGAGAGTAAATCTAAAAAAACTGAATGGAAGCTTCAGGTAAAAATGGTAAAAATCATTAATCACCAGACGGGGACGAAGTCCAAGCAAAACTACTAAACAATGGAGCAGAGGCATTGTTGATGAAGTTATATCGAAAGAATGGAAAACTCCTATGACAAAAACCTTCATAAAAAAGGAAGCACCTCACAAGATTGTAATAAGTGATAACTACCGAGGGACAGTAGAATTTTGCTCTCCGGATACACATTTTTTTCTAGTGGTAATTTTTCTCACCCATAAAAAAACTTACAACACACGATAATATAATAATAATAACATGAAGTATAAAAATCTATCGAGTGCCAGTGATAACAAAATAATCAAAGCAAACTGTAAAATGTATTAATTTATTTTTTATCTATTGATAAAATAGTAAACAATTTAAAAATTAATATTTCTTGAAAAATACATCTATAAAAGCCACATAATGGTATGGAACATTCTTGCATTAAAATCATGGTTATAAATATTTATAGAAAATGACAAAATAGTCCAATGATAATAGTTTATAATATTTATACAAAACTAATACATTAATTATTGCTGTCCCCCAAAAAGTGCTGTCCTGGGCGATTACCCAATTACCCCTTTAAATACGCCACTGCCGAGGGATAGCTTGGTTTCTAAGCATCCTTCTAACTTTTAAGCGTTGTGTATATAATCGTCTCTAACTGCGTTCTTCTGCAAAACTGATAGGATCTAGATTCTAGATCTTTATCACTGAATTTCAAGGTTTAGTGTTGTATATTTGTATACTATTACGTCTGGTTACCTACCATATAATATGAAGCGGAAACGTGGCAATTACGGAAGATATGAATATATGATGAATGAAAATGTTTAGTCTATGAGACGAAAGTTTTGAGGATAATTTATGGACCAATAAAGGATCTCAATAGCAATGAGCTGAGAATAACAATGAATAATAAACTAGGAACTTTTAGGGTGCCTCGGAATTTTTATAAGGGCCTTAAGCGGCTAAGCACCTAGGCACGGACTGGTAAAAAAGGACACTGAATGCTACATAGTTTATATAGTTTAAGGGCAAAACAACAAAATAATTTGTGGAAAATTAAAATATATATATATAATAGAATACTCTATAGGTATTTTCAATAATTTCGAGACAAATCTGAACGACTGAATTCTTAAGTCTTAAGCCAGAATGCCAGATTGCCGTACACCGGTTGAGAACCACTGCTATATAGTGCTATACATTTGGTTAATCAAGACATTTGGTTTTTAACCTAGCATAACTTATTTCATCAACATTTATAGAAAAAAAAATTCTGAGGAATATATTTTAGAATTTACACAAAAAAACAAAATATCATGTTGATTTTAGCCAAAAACTGGTTTAGTGAAAATGTTCATGTTTTTACTTTATTTTTTAAAGTAGGTATACTTGATACTTTTTTCTCCAAGCCTCCCAAACAGTACCAACTCAGCACTTACTACCAGCAACCAGTAAACCGTCTTCAAAGTTGAATAGGCGATGACAGATACAAATTAATAAAAATAAAACACGTAATTGCAAAACCAATACATTCATCTCTCAGTTCACAATCTAAAACCCATAATAAAAATAATGAAATGTTAGGCGAACTACACTCGGCCGAGCCGGATGTATATTATAATCGCACGAATATTACGATAATATAATATTATTTTATTATTAAAAAAAAAATAATAATAATTAATATGATAATTTACGTCACGAACGTGTAAATATTAATAATAATAATAATAATAACGTGTGTGTGAATATTTTATGATAAAAATATTATAGTATACGTATATTAGGTATACTATATTATACTATTATAGTATAATATAGGTAACTATATAATAATAATGCCGTAGGAGTGTAGGACACGTCCAGAAGTAACGCGCGTGTGGGGCACAAGTGCACGACGCACGTCGCACAATCACCGCGGCTGCAAGTCGGTGGTCCCGTTCAGTGACGGGCGCGCGCGGTTAACAGTGTTGCCAAGATTCTCCTAGTCCGACGGCAGCGCGGCGGTGCACCTTGCGAACGGCCCGCGGCCGATCGGCGGTGGTCTTGAGAACCGAAGTCTCGAACCACGACTGTAATACCGTACGAGAGACTAGAGAGCGAGTTGTAGGACGTGTCGACGCGCACAGCGGCTACACACGGGCGGTCGGCACCAGCATTGCAGCGCACCGAGCACCACGGCAACGGCACTACCTACGGCCGATGCGGTGGTGAGCGGGTGAGGTTACAATATAGGAAACCACCTGACACGCCCCCACCGTTTTCCCAGTCATCACAAAGGATCCGCCACTCTCTATAGTTGCATCTTCTAATCAAGCGCGCGCGTGCGCACGTCACGTACACACGCATACGCTCGCACGCACACATACACTACACACACACACCACATACGCATTAGTGCGCACACACACGCGCGCGCTAGACGCACGTACTACACACAATATATTATAGTTACAGATACATTTTATTATTATTATTATTATTATTATTATTGTTTTTTTTTTAAATTTTATTTAATTTTCTCTTTTGTACGCCACTGACTGATGTGAATAACTTATTAGCGCTGCGCTGGCTCCTCGCGTACGGCTGGCTGGTGGTGGTGTCCCAAAAGCGGATTCTCATCCAAACAATAATAAATAATAATAATAATAGCAATAGTAACGTAGTATCATATTATTATTATTGTTAAGTTATTGTAATATCCTCCGAGTCTTGATTTTGTGAGATTTTCGTTCCACCACCGACGTTGTTCCGTACGTACTGTAACTATTTGGGACTCTTTTAGTCGTAATCGCGTCAATATGGCGTAGTGCCGCCGTCCGATTTCGTCTTCGTCGCCGCCGCTGTCGTCGTCAAACCACCGCCGTTAACGGTATCGTCGTAGGTAGTTCGGTAGGTAGGTAGCCGACAGCCGTCGCCACTACCGTGCAGTGTCAGTGCGATATTTAACTTCGATAATAATAATTACGATATATCATATGGTTATTGTATTTTACCTACTAGCAAAAACAGAAAAAGTGCAAACAGAGTTTTGTCTTCGTCATTGTATAGTGCTTTATCCGATTTCGAAAGCCTTATGTGCTACTGCTACTAAGTATATAAGAAAAGTAACGTTCTTCGGTGGTGTTGTTGTTGGGGTGACCGTGACCGTGAAAAATAATTGTCCCTGTTCCATGACTTCGACGGATTATTTAACAGTGATCCAACAGCGGACATCATCCGTAGTTACCTTGTAGCGCACTAACGTCGCTTATCAAAACAAACATGACTACATCCATCCGGTCCATCCCGTCTGACAAGGTATGTATAAAGTTTAATTTCTATACGTTTCAATAAAAATATAAGAAGATTTTTTTCTTATTAATTCTTTCTAATCATTATTAACATCATAAATAGGTTAAAAAAAAAATGTCTGTTTTATTAGAAAGTATGTGTCCATAGGTAATACATATTATGATATACACTTTTGAAATTGGTTTTATTCATTTGTATATGTCATAATGTTATCTAGACATTTAAATATTGTAATTTACAGTACAAGTACTTGCTGTTTGCATAGTATAATATTATAGTAGGTAGTTTTATTAATTAGGATGTTACCATGATGTTAACCAGGATGTTAATTTTTTTGTGGATTGCGTAAACTAATTTAAAGAGAAAGTCTACCAGTTCTTTCTTTTTGGTTATGTAGGTGTAGAAATTATTTTTTCTATCAAAAGTAAATTAAAAGTATATAAATAAACTACTCATCTACATCAATTAAACCTACATTTCAAGTTATTAAACAAACTGACAAAAACAAATATTCTATGTACCTACCTATTAATATTGTAAATTAAATATCATAATTAATTTTAATAATTTTAAAGATGAAAAAAATACAAATTATTTTCAAAACTAAGTACCTACTTGGGTACATTATTAATGTACTTTGTCATTTTGTGTTAAACATTATAGTAAGTGCCTATTGAATAATGTATGTTTAAAAATGATCATAAATCTTGAACTAAGTTCATTTGAAGTTCAATAGGTAAAACAAAAAAATTAATTCAAGATCTAGATATAACTTTTATTGTAGTTACTTAATATAATATTTAGGTAAGCCGCTATAGACAATAGAAGAATAATTTTTATAATTGATTTATTCTTATTTTGATGATAGGGTTATAATTTAAAAAAATAATGTATCAATTGCTTATCTTATGAGTTTTAGTAGTTATATTCAATCGTTTAAAATACCCAATTATAAGTAGACATTGTTTTATTATTATTATTAGTATTTTAGGTCATGTTTTAATGTACTTAATAATTACTTGATTGTGTGATGGTATAGACTGTATAGACATCAATGTATGTAGCATCATAAAGCTGCCACATGTAATATTTTTCATTGATAGATGATGACACTTTACAGTTATAACAGTTGTGTTGTTTAATGAGGTGTCTATACTGTCCTCGATACTGTCTATCAATTTATTAGGTACTTATCTAATTAATTTTGGCATTAATTGCATATAATATAATTATAATGTAAGTCTTTAATATTGTTGTCTATGCAGGCATTTTGTTGGTTTAGACCTCGGTATAGACTATTAGACTCGAATATAATATCTAAGTTTTGACGGAAGTAGATAATATTTTAAAAGTTATTTTCATCACTAGGTACCTAAAAAGTGTCTTACATTATGATATTTTTGTTTTAAAATATTTTAATGAGATTATATCATATACCGATAACAATTCCTATTTTACTACAGGAGCAATAAAATATTTTTGTAATATATGAATTTTAGAGTATCTAGTATAAAAATTGTATGTTTGCTACTTGATAGTAAATTAAACTGTTAAAGTATAGGTAGATAGCTGATAAATAATTAGATTACACTATAATAATATAATGTTTTTATAATAATTGTTTTGCATAACTATTTTGGTTTTTTGACTAATAAAACAAGAAAATAGGTAAACAGTACCTAATTAAATGTACAATCGTATATCTGGATTGGCCATAGATACCAGTAATTTTTCTTTCTGAAATATTTAATGATTTATGAGTTATGAACAATGTTTCATTTATTTATTACCTCACTATGAACCTATGTACATTCAAACATTGTTTTCTCATTAAAAGAGTTATTACGCTATATCCATAAGTGTTGTCTCAGTCTTACAAACATTTAACATATTTGTATGTTCTGAATAAGTAATTTAACCCTGTTATGTTTAATTTTAGTATGAATTGACCAATTACCAAATTTAGAAGTAAGATTATAATCTTGTCTATGGCATAGGTTTTATTTTATATTTCAATTTTTAAGCGAGTTATGAGCATTTCAAAAATATTGTAAATTGTTTGTACATTTTAAAAAACTCATAACTTGCTTTAAAATTGAAATATGAAAAAAAATTAAAAATTAATAAAAAATAAAAAAAAAAAAAAAAAAAAAACGATGTTATCGACCAGATAATATTCTTATTTCTAAATTTTGTAATAGGTCAACTCATAATAAAATCAAACTTAACAGATTTAAATTAAATTGCTATGTTATGCGTTTGTAAGACAGAGACACATGACGTGGGTAGGATTCCTCTTAATGAAAACTATTTTTGAAATTGTTTTAATATCTAAACATTTTCGTTAGTAATAAACACTACTATGAAACATATATTCGATGGCTACACAGCAAAACCTCGTAAGTTGAAATTTTAATTTTTTTTTTAATATTATATTAATATTATTAATTAGTTAATTGTGTAGGTACCCATATGATTTTACCTTGTAACCAAATAATTGTTAATACTGGGAGTAAATTAAGTCTAAAAATGAACACCAATAAACCACTGGTAAACTAATATTTACACAATATTTATTTTAACTTATATTTTGTAGTCAAAATTCTGTCAAAATTTGAACATTCATTAAAATAATTAAAATAGTGACAATTTTGTAGATTGTAATAATTCTGAACTAGGTACTTTTAAGTAGGTTCCTTTATTCGCTATACTTTATACATAGGCATATTAGATTATATTTGGTTAAAAGTTTAAATCAATATTGGTGAATTTTGTGTGTCTGAAATAATGTAAATTGATTGTTTACATTTTCCAGTCACCAACAAAAGGATCACTTAAAAGTTTGTAGTGAAAATGTCTTTAATTTTTTTCTTGTGTGACCATGACAAGGTAGGGGGTGGGTAATCAGATTAAATTTAGCCATACCTGACTACCTAACCTGATTTTATAGTATGCATATATGAATATAATTTATTGGTGTATAAAATTGGTTTAAAATTGGCTATGTCCATGATTTGCAAATTTACAATGTAGATACATGATAACTGTTAAAATAATTTCATTTTAGATTTAATAAGTAAATCCCAATTTCTAAACATTTAAATTTCTTTACACATAAATTGTTACACCAATAGCCTGTCTTACTTATTAGTGATAAGTACCTATATTACGTCTTGTACTCAATGTGTGGAACATGCAAACATATTTTAGATATAGGGGGACTACAGCATTTATTTTATATTTAGAAAGGTGAGTTATATATTGTTGTATTGGATTTTCAAAATAGTGTTAGGTATGTTATTATTGAAATATTTTTTTATTTATTCTTTTTGACCATATACAATAATATGAATGTTGGTATATGGAATAATATGTGTATAATATAATATATTATATTATATATTTAAATATATATATAATATATTGTCGAGTGTAAAAAATTATTATGTGTTAGTGTTATCTACAAATTTAATTACTAATTGAGTAGGTACATACATAAAGATGGAGTCGTCTTAATTGCATACAAATATATTGATAACTGTAATTATAATACATTTTTACAACACTTTTATCACTCACCTATTGATATAAATCAAAAAAAATATTTTTAAACTTAAACATTTTCAGTATAGTTATTAACTATACTATTAACTTGTTATATTGTGTGTACCTACTCATTTATCGATAATTTTTATTTACATTAAAATTGAAGTTGATGTAAGTAGGTAGTTATTTACAAAGTTATGTAATTACCTAAGATTTTGATCTCACAAAATGTACATGTTGATAAAATGTTAATTTTTCGTAAAATAATTCACAGGTATATTTTCATAATCCTTTAAAAAATTACGAGGGGTGGCTTGCTTAAAAAACCCAACTAATTTTATGCTGTATCATATTTTAGTAACACTTGTCAATTTTGAAGTAGAAAAACATAATATGCATGTAATTTGAACTGTAAAATTTTTACTTTGTTATTACTTTACAATATAAATACATAGTGGTGTGCTTCGTGAGTATTTTATGATATTAAATTTATAAGCATAAATATATCACCTTGTTCAAAAGATTATTTCCAGAGACTATTGATTTTTTGAAGAATAAATAAACATAGGTTGAGATTTTTTAAGTTTAGAAATATTACATTTGTAATATATTAAATATGTAAATATAAAATATTATCAACTTTATATCATTATGATTAGGTACTATCAATTAAAAATGTTATATCAATTGAATGAATTGATACTTTTTTTGTATACGCCCATAATATGGTCATGAGCCATTAACTATACAAAACTGCAGGGCTTATGATTTTAATTCTAAAATCGGTCTTATTAATTTAATTTGACTTTCAGTTGTCGGAATTGTTGTCAAAAAAACAAAGTTTTTAAAGTTAAACATCTCGACCTTAAACGACTGAATGAAAAAATTTGATCGGTCTACTAGTAGAATAAATAATGATTTAAAAACAGTTTTTGGAATAAAATCTGTAGTCTAATAACATAACATATTGATTTCTCATATTGATACGTCCTCAGTTCATTGGTTAAATAAATAATTTTGATAGGCATTAGCGACGCGATCAAGCAGTTGCAGCCTGCTGATAATCATATTGAAAATTAGAGTAATTATAAATTATCAATAATTATTACATTTTATTGAAATTTTCCATAGATAAACTTATTTAACAATTTGTTTTTGTTTGTCATTGCTATTCTTAATAATAACCTAGGTAATTTATTTCATATTTGTACTATTACCTGAGGACTAATTTCTGTGTCTATAATCTTTAAAATCAGCCTGCACTCCACCCCTTATGACAAAATCGTTTGACCGGCACTAAGTTGCACGATTCGCCAAAGAAAAATCGAAAAAAATCGACACGACAATTGTATACACTGATGACGCCTTAACATATTTTATATGTTATATAAATATTAAATGGAGTTAAAATTATGACAAAAAAGTTATTTGTAAATAAATTGTGTTTCATAACATCCTAA